AAGATGAAGGAGAAGAAGAAAGGAAGGTAGGAAGGAAGGAAGGGAGTCAGGAGAGAAGGAAGGAAAACCAGAAACTTACCAGAACTAATAAGTGAATTTAGCAAGGTCTCAGGATACAAGATCAACATAGAAAAACAAATTGTACTTCCGTATATTAGCAACAAACAACTGGAAGATGAGATTTTAAAAAGCAATACCATTTACAGCAGCATCAAAAAACAAAATATATAAAAATAAATTTAACAAATGATGTATCGGATTGCTACAGAAAACTGTAAAATATTGTGGAGGAAAGTTAAAGAAGATCTAAATAAAGAGTTTGTATCATGCTCGTGAATTGGAAGACTTTATTTTTTTTCTTTTCTTTTTTTTGAGATGGGGTCTATCTGTTGCCTAGGCTGGAGTGAAGTGGCTTGATCTTGGTTCACTGCAACCTCCACCTCCCAGGTTCAAGCAATTATCCTGCCTCAGCCTCCCAAGTAGCTGGGATTACAGGTGCCTGCCACCACACAGAGCTAATTTTTTAAATTTTTAGTACAGACAGGGTTTCACCATGTTGGCCAGGCTGCCTTCAACTCCTGACCTCAAGTAGTCTGCCTGCCTCGGCCTCCAGAAATGCTAGGATTACAGGTGCGAGCCACCAAGCCCAGCCTTGATATTGTTAAGATATCCATTCTCAAATTGATGTATAGATTTAACACAATCCCATCAAAATTCCAGTAGGCATTTTTGTAGAAATTGACTCCTGAAAATGGACAATCTTTGATATTGGTGTAAGGATCAACAAATATATACATAAAACAGGCAATCAGCAGATTTATACCTGTTGAACCTACCACAGGAATAACTCTTAATTACCCTAGAGGAGCAATTACTTTTGCACCAACCTAATAGTTGCTGAGGCCACCAGGGAGTCTATCAGAAAGGTATATTATGTATAATGACCTCAGCTAGCAATTCTAATTAAGCTTTTTCGAGATTAACAGAGATCACAATATTATAATAAATTATGTTTTCCTTTGTTTTTCAGGTTTCTTTAGTAAATATAAAATTAGGTAGAGTCCTGGTAAAACACTAGGTAATCCAATTTAATTATTTTTTGAAGAACAGGAAAATTCAGAATTTTGGTAGTGCTGGGTTGTACATTGTATACTTCATGAAACAGAACAAGTCTGTACCACACAGAAGGCATCATCAGATGGAACTAGGAAACTGGAAGAGTGCTGACAATTTTTTATTTTTTATGTTTTTAGACGGAGTCTTGCTCTGTTGCCCAGGCTGGAGTGCAGTAGTGGTATAATCTTGGCTCACTGCAACCTCCACCTCCCGGGTTCACACCATTCTCTTGCCTCAGCCTCCCGAGTAGCTGGGACAACAGGCGCCTGCCACCATGACAGGTGCCCGCCACCACGCCCGCTAATTTTTTGTATTTTTTAGTAGAGACGGGGTTTCACAGTGTTAGCCAGGATGGTCTCGATCTCCTGACCTCGTGATCTGCCTGCCTCGGCCTCCCAAAGCGCTGGGATTACAGGTGTGAGCCACCATGCCCAGCTGAGTGCTGACAATTATTTAACAGAATATGTCATCCAAAAGACCACCAAGATGGCTAAATAGTAGAAAAAGGGAGTTTTATTGGTGATATCAGTTTGCAAATCAGGAAGAGACAATCTCCAGCATGGACTGAAGGTGCTTTCTCTTCAAAGAGGAAAAGAGCAGGCTGGGTTTTGTGCCTCACAGGGCCTGTACAACACAAGAGAGTCATACATATTCAGCAGGTTTGTGGGGAGTTATACATATTTATGAGAGGAAAAGAGCACATGTGCAATGGACAAACACATATAAATGTAATATACATCCCATGTTCACTTTGGAATGGGACTTTAAGCATTAAGATGAGGTAGAATTGCCGGGAGCGGTGGCTCAAGCCTGTAATCCCAGCACTTTGGGAGGCCGAGACAGGCAGATCACGAGGTCAGGAGATCGAGACCATCCTGGGTAACCCAGTGAAACCCCGTCTCTACTAAAAAATACAAAAAACTAGCCGGGCAAGGTGGTGGGCACCTGTAGTCCCAGCTACTCGGGAGGCTGAGGGAGGAGAATGGCGTAAACCCGGGATGCAGAGCTTGCAGTGAGCTGAGATCTGGTCACTGCATTCCAGCCTGGGCGACAGAGCGAGACTCCGTCTCAAAAAAAAAAAAAAAAGATGAAGTAGAATTTGTCTCTTTACATCAAAAGGTGAACTATAAGACATAAAGACAGTTTGTGCAGTCTCTATAAACTGGCTGAAACTTAAAGAATGTTTGTGTCTAGGCGTGCTGGCTTATGCCTGTAATCCCAACACTTTGGGAGGCCAAGGTGAGAGGATTGCTTGAGGTCAGGAGTTCAAGACCAGCCTGGGCAGCAGAACAAGACCCTGTCTCTACACACACACACACACACACACACACACACACACACACACACGGATCTCTATCCAATCAGAGGTGTAGCAGTCTAGGTTGTAAATCAGGATTAGGAATTTGCCTCATAGCTTGTGTTGTTAGGGAGTTTAGCAAGAGTGTGGTTTTTCTTTTTCTTTTCTTTCTTTCTTTTCTTTTTTTTTTTTTTTTGAGACGTCGTCTCACTCTTGTCTTCCAGGCAGGAGTGCAGCTCACTGCAACCTCTGCCTCCCGGGTTTAAGCGATTCTCCTGCCTCAGGCTCCCGAGTAGAGTAGTAGGCACCACACCCGGCTAATTTTTGTATTTTTACTAGAGACAAGATTTTGCCATGTTGGTCAGACTGGTTTCGAAGTCCTGACCTCAGGTGATCTGCCTGCCTTGGCCTCCCAAAGTGCTGGGATTATAGGCGTGAGCCACTGCACCCAGCAAGACTGTGATTTTTCTTACAGCCTAGGAATTTAGAAAGTTGTCATGCCAGCTCAGCCCTGAACCCTCAACCCAGAGGTAACTTTTGTTTCCTTAATGTTAGGGTCCATCTCAGTTGATAAAGGGGCATCTATTTTGGTCCCTCAAATCACAGATAAAACAATTTAACATTTGAATACCATATTATTTTTAAATATTTTATAAACATTATATATTTTCTTTATTTTTAGATCAGAGATGCTGCTAGATTATAAATAAGTGCTTTCATTGCTGACTAATAGAACATATTTTTAACCATGTAATGTAATGATAGCTTTTTTTTTCTTTTTTCTTTTTTTTTTGAGACAGAGTTTTGCTCTTGTTGCCCAGGCTGGAGTGCAATGGCGCAATCTCGTCTCACTGCAACCTCCACCTCCTGGGTTCAAGCGATTCTCATGCTTCAGCCTCCCGAGTAGCTGGGATTACAGGCATGTGCCACCACACCCAGCTAATTTTTGTATTATTAGTAGAGACGAGCTTTTTCCATGTTGGTCAGGCTGGTCTCAAACTCCCGACCTCAGGTGATCTGCCCACCTCAGCCTCCTAAAGTGCTGGGATCATAGGCGTGAGCCACTGTGCCCAACCATGAATAGCGTGTGTGTGTATGTGTGTGTGTGTTTTGAGTATTGCTCTTGTCACCCTGGTTGGATTGCAGTGGCATGATCTTGACTCTCTGCAACCTTGGCCTCCTGGATTCAAGTGATTCTCCTGTTTCAGCCTCCCGAGTAGCTGGGATTACAGGCGTGCACCACCACACCCAGCTAATTTTTCCATTTTTAGTAGAGATGGGGTTCCACCGTGTTGGTCAGGCTGGTTTCGAACTCCTGACCTCAAGTGATCCGCCCGCCTCAGCCTCCCAAAGTGCTAAGATTACAGGCATGAGCCATTGCAACCAATCACAAACAGTTTTTAAAACAATGGCTCAAATATTTCATTAAGAACTTATTTAAAGAGGCCTATGTGTTATAGGAGATAACTGACTCGAGGTTATGTGTCTATGAGAAGGCAGAGATCATTAAGTATAAGTACAGTTTGTATGATGTCACGGCATGTGTTACCCACTCAGTAATCATGGCAAAAAAAGAAGTAGGCAGAGAAAAGATGACTTTATAATTCCAAATCAAATTATCACATCAACAGAGTCTTAAAAGGGAGAAGAAAACAGTAACGGCTTTGTTAACAAAAAAAGCTGGATGATGCTCATACACATGGATGTCTGACTTAACAATAACTCACATCACATTTCTATTGTAGATAAATAAAAAGGGAAGAGTTGTCATCTTGTATTTTTAGGACTATTTAAAAGAAAAGACACTACCAGAAAAAAAACCTGTTTCTCTTCAAATTCTTCCCCTCACAATGGCCATCTCCACCCTAAAATTAGAAACCAAGCTAGTAAGAATCAGGGACTAGAATGTAAATATATACTACCAAAACTCTGACTTTATTAATGCTAAATTACATATAAATTACTAAATTATAAACATGCTAGTCAAGCCAAAAGATTTGCTTCAATGCCTTGCTCAACTTGCATCCTTTTTTTTGCGGGGGTGGTGCGGCAGGATGGAGTCTCTCTCTGTTGCCCAGGCTGGAGTGCAGTGGCATGATCTCAGCTCACTACAATCTCCGCCTCCCAGGTTCAAGCAATTCTTCGGCCTCAGCCTTTGAGTAGCTGGGATTACTGGTGCGCGCCACCATGCCCGGCTAATTTTTTGCATTTTTAGTAGAGATGGGGTTTCACCATGCTGGCCAGACTGGTCTTGAACTCCTGGCCTCATGATCCACCTGCCTCAGCCACCCAAAGTGCTGGGATTACAGGCGTGAGCCACTGTGCCCGACCAATTTCCATCCTTTTAAACAATCTTAATGATATATTTAAATACTGCCCCAGAAAGTTCAGTGTGAAGCCAAACCCATGTTGCATGCTTATCAAGTATATTTGTTTGCTCAGAAATGTTTGGTGTTCCCAGACATCGGGATCTTACTTTATTACATATTTAGAAACTTTTCCTTCTGTAATTATAAAGCTCTAAACCAACGCTAAGAATGACCACTAATCAAGTATGATTGAAATAATAGGTGATCAAATAAAATTATATGACTAAATGTAAGCTGAAATCTTATTAGGATGTACCAGTCAGGTAGTTTTTATAAATTCATGCTCAAATTAAGAAAACATGAATAATTTAAAGATTAATAAATTTAAAAACAAATTTAGGTGAATATACATATAACTAAAAGGATTTACAATATACCTGTAGAATTCTCTAGTTAGTATTTTTGTGTATGTAACATTAATAAAAAGGATTTTTTTAAAACCATACAGTGATTCTGGGATTCCCTGAATTTTCAGCTGCTGCATTTTCTACTCTACATCTGGTAGATTCTTCTTCCTTTCAGTTTGTGCATTTCCTGTATTCTAAAAAGTAAATAGAAACAGGTCTTTAATTGAGGACATGGTGAGTCTTTGGCTAAGGAAATACAGCCAGAGATAAATACTTGTACTTTGCCCCTACGGGTTGTTTCATAAGGTACAGGGAAACTATTTAGCAATGAATTCCTTATTATTATCATCCAACAAAACAAAAGGTGGCCTTTGTATGGACTCTCTCTCTCTTGCCTAACTCACTCATTCACAGTAATTTAGAGTCTCTTTCTGGTTATAGAACCTAATTAATGCATGCATGCATATTTAAGATGGCTGAAATAGTTTAAAGTAAACCTGGCAAGGCGTGGTGGCTCACATCTGTAATCCCAGCACTTTGGGAGGTTGAGGAAGGCAGATTACCTGAGGTCAGGAGTTCAAGATGAGCCTGGACAACATGGTGAAACCCCGTCTCTACTAAAAATACAAAAATTAGCCAGGTGTGGTGGTGGGCGCCTGTAATCCCAGCTACTCAGAAGGCTGAGACAGGAAAATTGCTTGAACCCAGGAGGCGGAGGTTGCAGTGAGCCAATATCACACCACTGTACTCCAGCCTGGGTGGCAGAGGGAGAGTCTGTCTCAATAAATAAATAAATAAATAATAATAAAAAAGAAAGTAAACCTGAGAAGTGCTTGGATCTGATTGTATAATTCAAAAACCAAGTCAATACAGAGCCAAGAATAGAAAAAATAACTAGCAATTCCTTATCTTATGTTTTTAAAAATATGTCATATTCTCTCATGCTCTAAAATAAACTACAGACTCAAAATTTAAGACATCTTCTTAATTCTGACATTTATTAAAACCAGTTGTACTAGCCTTATATGCAATTTCAGTCACTTGTCAGAGCTGCATTTGAATGAGAGTACAAATAAACTATAACAAACACTGATGACTTCATTTTTTTCTGGAGTTCTGTATCATATGAACAAGAAGATGTTTTCCCTTTGTAATTTATTATTTATCCTAAAAATCACAGAAGTCTTTTTTCCTGCAGAGTTCCTTTTTTCCTAGACTAGAAAGTAATTTTAGTTCCTGGGGACTCTCATAGGACAACGGGATAAACATGAGGCACATTAATAGTCTGCCTACCTCAGGAGCCCTAACTCGCCCAAATCATTGAAAAAATGTGTAAATGGTATGCTGTGCAACATGCTGTGACATGAGTATGTCACCCAAATTTAAAAGTTTAAAGCCATCTTATTACTTTTTATAATGAACTGAAAGATGACTATTAACGGTTTTCTTTTTCTTTTCTTTCTTTTTTTTTTTTTTTTTTGAGACAGAGTCTTGCTCTTGTTGTCCAGGCTGGAGTGCAATGGTTTGATCTCAGCTCACTGCAACCTCCGCCTCCCAGGTTCAAGCACCTGCCTCAGCCTGCTGAATAGCTGGGATTACAGGCATGCGCCACCATGCCCAGCTAATTTTTGTATTTTTAGTAGAGACAGGGTTTCACCACATTGACCAGGCTGGTCTTGAACTCCTGACTTCAGGTGATCCACCCTCTTCAGCCTCCCAAAGTGCTGGGATTACAGGTGTGAGCCACTGTGCCTGGCCTAATGGCGTTCTTGTTCTACAACATTTCTTTTCTGCAAAGTGGACTGTGGAGTTCTTAAGCTCTAGACCAAGACTAAAGAGCCCTAAATGTCACAGTGAGAATACATCTAATAGTGTCTGATAACCCTCTTATCCAAATATTATAGAGATCAAGTAGCCTTGTTAAAATGCCTTCTTACGGAGTTTCAGATTTTTTTAAACATTTTTAATTTCTTCAAATTTTCTTAATAAGTATATACTAATTTTATCATGAGTAAAACTGTAATATTATTTTTTTAAAAAATAGAGGTTGGGCCGGGCACAGTGGCTTACGCCTGTAATCCCAGCACTTTGGGAGGCCGAGGTGGGCAGATCATGAGGTCAGGAGATCGAGACCACCCTGGCTAACACAGTGAAACCCCATCTCTACTAAAAATATTAAAAAAAAAAAAAAAAAATTAGCCAGGCGTGGTAGTGGGTGCCTGTAGTTCCAGCTACTCAGGAGGCTGAGGCAGGAGAATGCTGTGAACCTGGGAGGCAGAGGTTGCAGTGAGCCAAGATTGCGCCACTACACTCCAGCCTGGGTGACAGAGTGAGATTCTGTCTCAAAAAAAAAAAAAAAAAACAAAAACAGAAGTTGATAAATCACATACAGAGATGACCTCACAAGTGCAGAATAGGAGGCCATCAATATGATTTAATTCAGTGGGTGCTTGGCACAATCTCTTTCTCTTAAAAGACTGTCTTTATAGAGCATTCATTTGGATGTTACAGGCTTCAAGATTTTCAAATAAAATTTGAGAATCTCTCTGGTGGATAGGGACTGGGAATATTTCAACAAGATTACCTGATAGTTAGCTGAGAGCAAATATTTGTTAAAATAGGACAGTAGGCAGACAGTAGAGATAGACAGGGGAATAAACTGGAGAGAAAACAAGAAGGAAGGAAGAGGCTTTAAGACAGAGACACACATGCTTGTGGCCATATAACTGTATATTTATACCATGATTCATTTTCTTTTTTTTTTTTTTTTTTTTTTTTGAGACGGAGTCTCACTCTGTCGCCCAGGCTGGAGTGCAGTGGCCGGATCTCAGCTCACTGCAAGCTCCGCCTCCCGAGTTCATGCCATTCTCCTGCCTCAGCCTCCCGAGTAGCTGGGACTACAGGCGCCCGCCACCTCGCCCGGCTAGTTTTTTGTAGTTTTAGTAGAGAAAAAAAAAAAAAAACAAAATATGGTTGATGGGGTTCATGAGGTTATTCCTGGCAGAAGGAGGTTATCAATATGATTTAATTCCAAATAAAAGTTATATAATTTTTCTTTTGAAAGACTTATTTTATAGATATTCCATTTTATTAAACAGAAACAGATTTGAATAAAAATTTGAGAATCTTCGTATAGGATCAAAATAGTTTCAATATCAGTCTAGGTTAGTTGGGCTAGAGTGCATATTTGATGGTAGGAGGGAGGGAGTGGTGGAGAGGAGAGGGTTTAACCCAGAGAAAACAAAGAAGAAGAAGAGGTTTTAAGATAGACACATGTTTGAAGGTTAACTGTATATTTATGTCAAGTGACCTGTTTTCTTTTTTTTTTGAGATTTGAGTTCTGCTCTGTCGCCAGTTGGAGTGCAGGCCTGAGATCTGTCACTGCAAGCTCCCGCCTGGGAGTTCAAAGAGCTCCTCTCAGCCTCAGCCTCCAGTGAGCTGGGATCAGTGTCGCCATCTCTGCCCGCTGGTTTTGTAGCCGGTAGATATTGTTTCACCGCAAAGAATGCGATATTCTGATTTTCGAACTGATCCGTCGCTTCTACCTGGTGTTAGATTATAGGTTGAGCCACGCCGGGCCTGTTTAGTTCATTTCTCATTGTCTGTTTATCGGCTTGAGACACATGGCATATTGATAATATTTTTGCTTGGTCCTACTATTCAAGATATCTATTTCCCTGCCTCAGCCTCCCGAGTAGCTGGGACTACAGGCGCCCGCCACCTCGCCCGGCTAGTTTTTTGTAGTTTTAGTAGAGACGGGGTTTCACCATGTTAGCCAGGATGGTCTCGATCTTCTGACCTCGTGATCCGCCCGTCTCGGCCTCCCCAAGTGCTGGGATTACAGGCTTGAGCCACCGCGCCCGGCCCCATTATTCACTTTCACTAGTCTGGCTTACCTGCCTGATATCTGACATTACACACAATATAGATACTATTTTCCCCGGGTGCCATGCATTCTAATTATTCAACATTACCCACTAAAAAATAACTTTTAGAAACTTCTATTAATGGGTTATTCTAGGAAAATACAGATCTGTTTCTTGAGTTCAAAGATTATAAAATTTCGAATTTTTATATAGCTTTCCAATAGTAATAACTAAATTTATACAGAGTCAAGTCCTCTAAACAATATGCCTTAGTAAAAGCTATATACAAAAAAGTTACCTCTTGTTTTTCTTGATTTTGATCCACATTAAGTAAAGTTGGTATCTTAGATGAATCTGTTTTCTTTGACTCCCTCTTCAGCATTTTTATCTGTTTAACTTTTGTAAAAATATACAAAACAATGAAAATTTGTTATTCCTACTTTGAAATTTTACTTTCCAAGAATTTCAAATAGAGATTCTGATATCCACTAAGTCAGTTTCTCAGTTTATTACAAAGGAACAAAATAAGTTATGAGTTGTAATGGTAAAATACGGTAAATTATTTGTTTTATAACTTTACAAATAGTCTACTAAGTATTAAAATAAGACTTTTATTTTATTTTATTTTATTATTCTCAGTGTAACTGTTAAGTGGATCAGAAAATTCCTCTTGAACTGTACAAGGATTATATTCTTGCTATTATATTAACTTTTCACAAGGTGTCACTGTTCTTCAAAGAAACATAAGAAAATTTATTCAAGACAAAAGTGTGTTCATTCTGAGATAAATCTTAAGTTTATAAATCTTTTTTTTTTTTTTTTGAGATGGATTCTCACTCTGTCACCCAGGCTGGAGTGCAGTGGCGTGATCTTGGCTCACTGCAACCTCCACCTCCCAGTTTCAAGCAATTTTCCTGCCTCAGCCTCCCAAGTAGCGGAGATTACAGGCATGAGCCACCACGCCTGGCTAATAGAGATGGGGTTTTGCCATACTGGCCAGGGTGGTCTCAAATTACTGACCTCAGGTGATCCGCCCGCCTTGGCCTCCCAAAGTGCTGGGATTACAGGTGTGAGCCACCATGCCCAGCCTATAAATCTATTTAATCCTTGGATGCCCAAAATACATATAAAATTTCTGCTACTATATGGGTAAATGATCATGAAGAAACATAGAAAGGCAATTTACTCCAGGTCATACTAAACCAGATTTCTCAAATACTGCTCTAACATTTCAACAACATTGAGCTAATAAAAAAATTCATGCTTTGCAGCCAGCTGCAATGGCTTATGCCTGTAATTCCAGCACTTTGGGAGGGCAAGGTGAGTGGATCACCTGAGGTCAGGAGTTCGAGACCAGCCTGGCCAAAATGATGAAACCCCATCTCTACTAAAAATACAAAAAATAGCCAGGCATGCTGGCGGGCACCTGTAGTCCCAGCTACTCAGGAGGCTAGACATGAGAATCACTTGAACCCAGGAGGTGGTGGTTGCAATGAGCTGAGATTGCAACACTGTACTCCAGCCTGGGTGGCAGAATGAGACTCTGTTTTAAAAAAATAAATAAATAAGCAAATTCAGCAAAGTCTCAGGATACAAAATTAATGTGCAAAAATCACAAGCATTCTTATATACCAGTAACAGACAAACAGACAGCCAAATCATGAAAGAACTCCCATTCACAATAGCTTCAAAGAGAATAAAATACCTAGGAATCCAACTTACAAGGGATATAAAGGACCTCTTCAAGGAGAACTACAAACCACTGCTCAGTGAAATAAAAGAGGACACAAACAAATGGAAGAACATACCATGCTCATGGATAGGAAGAATCAATATCATGAAAATGGCCATACTGCCCAAGGTAATTTATAGATTCAATGCCACCCCCATTAAGCTACCAATTACTTTCTTCACAAAACTGGAAAAAACTGCTTTAGAGTTCATATGGAACCAAAAAAGACCCCGCATTGCCAAGACAATCCTAAGCCAAAAGAACAAAGCTGGAGGCATCATGCTACCTGACTTCAAACTATACTACAAGGCTACAGTAACCAAAACAGCATGGTACTGGTACCAAAACAAAGATATAGACCAATGGAACAGAACAGAGTCCTCAGAAATAATGCCACACATCTACAGCCATCTGATCTTTGACCAATCTGACAAAAGCAAGAAATGGGGAAAGGATTCTCTATTTAATAAATGGTGCTGGGAAAATTGGCTAGCCATAAGTAGAAAGTGAAACTGGATCCTTTCCTTACTCCTTATACAAAAATTAATTCAAGATGGATTAGAGACTTAAATGTTAGTCTAAATCATAAAAATCATAAAATCATAAAAACCCTAGAAGAAAACCTAGGTAATACCATTCAGGACATAGGCATGGGCAAGGACTTCATGTCTAAAACACCAAAAGCAATGGCAACAAAAGCCAAAATTGACAAATGGGATCTAATTAAACTAAAGAGCTTCTGCACAGCAAAAGAAACTACCATCAGAGTGAACAGGCAACCTACAGAATGGGAGAAAATTTTTGTAATCTACTCATCTGACAAAGGGCTAATATACAGAACCTACAAAGAACTCAAATACATTTACAAGAAAAAAAACAAACAACCCCATCAAAAAATGGGCAAAGGATATGAACAGACGCTTCTCAAAAGAAGACATTCATACAGCCAACAGACACATGAAAAAATGCTCATCATCACTGGCCATCAGAGAAATGCAATTCAAAATCACAATGAGATACCATCTCATACCAGTTAGAATGGCGATCATTAAAAAGTCAGGAAACAACAGGTGCTGGAGAGGATGTGGAGAAATAGGAACACTCTTACACTGTTGGTGGGACTGTAAATTAGTTCAACCATTGTGGAAAACAGTGTGGCGATTCCTCAAGGATCTAGAACTAGAAATACCATTTGACCCAGCCATCCCATTACTGGGTATATACCCAAAGGATTATAAATCATGCTGCTATAAAGACACATGCACATGTATGTTTACTGCAGCACTATTCACAATAGCAAAGACTTGGAATCAACCCAAATGTCCATTAGTGACAGACTGGATTGAGAAAATGTGGCACATATACACCATGGAATACTATGTAGCCATAAAAAAGGATGAGTTCATGTCCTTTGTAGGGACATGGATGCAGTTGGAAACCATCATTCTCAGCAAACTATGGCAAGAACAGAAAACCAAACACCGCATGTTCTCACTCATAGGTGGGAATTGAACAATGAGATCACTTGGACACAGGAAGGGGAATATCACACACTGGGGCCTATTGTGGGGAGGGGGGAGCGGCGAAGGGGGAGGGATAGCATTAGGAGATATACCTAATGTGAATGACAAGTTAATGGGTGCAGCATACCAACATGGCACATGTATACATATGTAACAAACCTGCATGTTGTGCACATGTACCCTAGAACTTAAAGTATAATAAAAATAAGTAAATAAATAAAAAAAATTTTTAAATTTACCCTTTAAAGCTGTCTTAACCTCTCTTTTTCTTTTTAATTAATTTTTTTTTTTTTAGAGACACGGTCTCATTATGTGTCATCCTGGAGTGAAGTATAGTGGCGTGACCACAGCTCACTGCAGTCTCAACCTCCTGGGTCAAGCAGTCCTCCTAACTCAGCCTCCCAAGTAGCTGGGACTACAGGCACACACCACCACACCAAGCTAGTTTATTTTTTGTAGAGACAGGGTTTTGCTATGTTGCTCAGGCTGGTCTCAAACTCCTAGACTCAAGCAATCCTCCTGCACTGGCCTCCCAAAATGCTGGCATTACAAGCTTACGCCTCTTTAAAATTATCTCCTTAAAATCGTACCCCTTATTTGACAATGGGGAGAAAATCTCATCAGCTGAAATGTTTTCCTTACCAATGTACTGTTTTCTACCTATATCACACTAAAATATAAGTTATATTATGAAAAAATCTTATAAATGATATCATCATAATTGTAAAGCTATACAACAAATGTGTACCTTCCATTCCTTTTGTATCTTTTGGCTGTATTGTGACAGGCAATTCTGGAAAATGGAATTCTTTCCTGTCAGATCTGGAAAAATTCAGCTTCCTTTTGTTCTCATTAGACATTTGGTCACTGTGACCTGTTCGCTCATTAAATATACCCTTCTCCATTTGGCTCTAAACAAACAAACAAGAGTTAGTTTGAAGAAATGTGTCTAACTATCTGTAGAATGACAATCCTAGAATTGCTAGGCATTTGGATGATATAAGACAGACATAACAATTAATTTAATAATTAAGAAGATTTAGAATACTATTGAACATATCAACAGATCAAACTCCAACAAGTTTCATATAGCAAACATTTTTAGCATATTTAATATTCTGAGCATAACAGTCTTGATCATGAGAACCACAATAATAACAATAATAATAATATTATTATTATTTTGAAACAGGGTCTTGCTCTGTCACCCAGCTGGAGTGCATTGGCATGATCATGACTCATTGCAGCCTCAACCCCCTGGGCTCAAGTGATCTTCCCACCTCAGTCTCCCAAGTAGCTGGGACTACAGGCACACACCACCATGCCTGATTAATTTTTAAATTTTTTGTAGAGATGGGGTCTTGTTAGGCTGATCTCAAACTAGGCTGATCTCAAACTCCTGTGCTCAAGCAATCGTTCTGCTTTGGGCTCCCAAAGTGCCGGGATTACAAGCATGAGCCACTGCACCTGGCCTTATTATTATTATTATTATCATTGAGACAGAGTCTTGCTTTGTTGCCCAGGCTGAAATATAGCAGTGCTGTTATGGCTGCAGCCTCAACCTCTTGGGCTCAAGCCATAGTCCCACCTCAGCCCACCCAGTCTGAAACCACAGCCACACGCCACCACACACAACTAATTTATTTTATTTCATTTTTTGTAGAGACAGGGTCTCACTATGTTGCCCAGGCTGAACTCAAATTCCTGGGCTCAAGCAATCCTCCCAGCTCAGTCTTCCAAAATGCTAGGATTACAGGTTAGAGCCACTGTGCCTGGCCAGAACCACAAACTTAACTTTTCATTTTTAATACTATTCACTGCACTCTGACTTTGAGCAAATTGCTTCAGTTCATTTTCTTAATAACTTACTTATCTACCTACAAAATGATATGCTTTGTGAACACTGAGAAAACCCAAAGGAAAAAAAATTAATTGCACATCCAGCATCTGGGAAACGTTCTGTGTTACCAGATTTTTGTTCATTTGAAAACAGATCATAAAATCTTGTCTAGGTCAATGAACACTCTTCCACAATGTAATGTGTAGTATTCCACTGTATGAATGTACACTAATGTACTTAGTCACCGGCTCTTGGACAAGTTTGTACTGTTTTCAGTTTTTTGTTATTATAATTAACATTTTGCTTCAATTTTGAATAAATCACCTTCCTATGTAAAAAGTTGTGAGGTCCCATTAGAGATGAATAATGCAAAATAAGCCAAAAACAAAACAAAACAAAAGTTGGGAGGGGGATGAACTACACTGATGATTTTTTCTAGTGAAAATAAGTTGTGTTTATTTGGTGATTGTTTTTAATCCATAAAGATATTAAAAACATTTTTTGGAAGTGAAAAAAAACAAAACTACTTCTGACTTTCAAAGGTGGAAATCCTAACTTACTCTGCCTAAGTCACATATTAAATACATAAATTAAGATATATGAACTTAATTAACTGTGATAAATTAAGATATATGAACTTAATTAATTGTGAAAGCACTTAGAAAATAATGGCCTATTTTCATCTCAGGGAAAAAAAAAGAAACTTAAAGTACATTTTTAAAAGTGTGAGAGGCTGGGTGCATTGGCTCACACCTGTAATCCTAGTACTTTGGGAGGCTGAGAAGGGAGGATCCCTTGAGCCCAGGAGTTTGAGACCAACCTGGGCAACATAGTAAGACTTAGTTGCTACAAAAAATGAACAAAATTAGCTGGGCATGGTGGCATGTGCCTGAAGTCTCAGCTACTTGGGAGGCTGAAGTGGGAGGATTGCTTGAGCCCAGGAGGTCGAGGCGGCAGTGAGCTGAGATCGTACCACTACACTCCAGTCTGGGCAACAGAGAGAGATTCTGTCTCAAAAAAACAAAACAAACAAACAAACAAAAAAGTATTAGAGCCCTAAAGATACAGAAAAAGAAAACAGAAGTAATGTTAAAAGAGGCCATATTTTAATGCGTGGCTTCTTGCCTTACTTGAATAGGACCTGGATCCTCTTGCCTGCTATTAGGCATAACTTGTCCAATAGATTGTGAAGAAGTGCGTCTCTTTTTTGCTCTTTCAGTTAACCTATTATTTAAAAATGAATGAGAAGTTATTAGAACTCCCCAGAAATGCCTTTTTTTCTTTTTTTTGGGGGGGGGGGCAGAATCTCACTCTGTCACCCAGGCTGGAGTGCAGTGTCATGATCTTGGCTCACTGCAACCTCTGTCTCCTGGGTTCAAGTGATTCTCTTGCCTCAGCCTCCCAAGTAGCTGGGATTACTGGTGCGTTCCAACTTGGCCAACTAATTTTTCTATTTTTTGTAGAGACAGGGTTTTGCCATGTGGGCCAGGCTGGTCTCGAACTCCTGAGCTAAACTGATACACCCGCCTTGGCCTCCCAAATTGCTGGGATTACAGGCACGAGTCACCATGCCCAGGCGAAATGGCTTTGTTTTAGCTTCAAGAATGAATAAATTATGGCATGAAAGTCTATTTTTTGAACACTGAGTACCAAAATGCAATAGTGAGTCCTTATCTACCAATTACCCTAAAGAGAGAGGTGGTAACAGGGCAGAGAACAATTAGTGCATGTTAACATCAGTGGTGACAGGCATGTTGTGGGGTTACTCCTGCTGGCCTACTTGCTCCCTTCTATCTGTTCTGAATTTGGATCTCTTCACTACCAGCTTTCTCAATTTATGAGCTTACTGTCCAAGACTGACTGGCTTACAACCATTGTTACTAGTATATGGTTTTGGGATCACCTCAAGAACAACTGGGCTCTTGCAGTCTGTAGCCTGCTGTACCTTTGGACTGACATGGACATGTCCACTTGCTCACCTCTGCAGACCACTGGGCTTCAAAACCTGTAGCCCAAACCAGTCTGCTAGAATCCTCTTGGGCTAATGAATCCAGTCTCCTTCTCCCCTAGAATGACCGTAGTCTCCCTAAATTTTGAAGTGGCCCTACTGATTTGTTGGACAGACCCTCACCATCCATCACACTGCCCTTGATTAACCAGACTCATGGACCAGTCTCTCAGTCTGTATCAGAGGATAAATCTAAAACTGGCCTAATACGCTATTTTTCTCCCAAAATATTTCACCTTGAAAGGCTATTTGACTTATGAAAGATTTTTTACTATCCTTTCTCCACTTAGAGAATTTGCTATGATATAGAAATAAAGCTTATTTTGTTATACCGAGGCACACTGATACCAGAACTTAGGGCATATCAACTTTTTTTTCTTCAAAAATAAAAACATTTTTCAAAGGGTCTTTTTTTTTCTTTAAATGAGGTTTCTCCAAAAGACATTAGTGAAAATTTAAACATCTATATGGTCAAGAAAAGTTAATTTCTTCTACAGCATTTGTAAGAAACACTCAGTAAATGGCCCATTATACAGCTTTAATTTCAACATATTTTCTTCAAGTTCAGTTTACATACAGACACTATGAACATGATTCTTCGAAATACCATTATACAGGAATATTGTATTATTTAGGTTTCTTCTCTGTTACAGCTCACCTCACACTGGGGTGAAAGAGATTTGAATTGAGATTTGCAGCCATCAAATTACTGTTAGTTAGATTGATGGGTGGCATTGTCATAGGACCTCCGCAATGTGGATTTTCTTTCAAGCCATTACAGTTAGTGCTGGGATTGATAGGGTTTGGCGGTTCAATGGTTACAAGTTTTGTATCTGGAGACATAGGATGCACATTTTCATTTGCATCCTGTTGACAAAGTCCACCTTCATACTCTTTCTTTTTTGGTTCTGAGATATCTCCTCTTCCTCCTTTGACTTTAATAACTCTGACTTTGATCTCCTTGGGCTTTTTCTCTTTTTCTATTTCCTGGAATATATACATCCAAAATCCGAGTCATGATAACAGTTATTTTTGTCATTAGAGTCTAACTATAATTATACTGGCTGAAACAAAAGCCAAAGTTCTTACCTTTCCCAAAACTGAACTACTTAGCAGTGTATTGGTATAAACTGTTTTTCTTTCATCTTTCCTGAGTTCATTTTCTTTAGAACTCTCTTTTGGCTTTATTAATGAATTGACTTTTGCTTCCTGCAGTAATTTAGCTTTCAGTTCTGGCATGAATCTGATAAAACAAGCAATATCAACGAGTAATCTTTTTTATATATGCAGATAAAGTATTTTATCTTGAATAAACCATTTCATCAATTAATTTGTATTTCAGCTACAGTATAAATAATGCTATCTAATTACAATGCATGCCAAGAGATGGCCCAATTTACCTAATAAAAATTGCTTTCTGGTAAAGCTACATCTTTCGAAAATTATGCTATGGGAACCTACTATATAAAACTTTTACAAAATAGATTTATACTAATTAGATTCCTTTCGCGATGCAAACTCAACTCAGAAAAATACTGCTTTTAATTTTGATAAAAATATTATTATTTTTAAGGAAGACTCAGACCACTTTGACCTTTTCTGTGGTTCTTTTTTTTTTTTTTTTTTGAGATGGAGTTTTGCTCTTGTTGCCCAGGCTGGAGTGCAGTGGCGTGATCTCATCTTACCACAACCGCTGCCTCCTAGGTTCAAGCGATTCTCCTGCCTCAGCCTCCTGAGTAGCTGGGATTACAGGCATGTGCCACCACGCCCGGCTAATTTTGTATTTTTAATAGAGGTGGTGTTTCTCCATGTTGGTCAGGTTGGTCTCTAACTCCCAACCTCAGGTGATTCGCCTGCCTCAGCTTCCCAAAGTTGCTGGAATTACAAGCGTGAGCCACCGCACTCGGCTGTGGTTCTTTAAAGTAATAGAACTTTAAAAATGGACTAACTAGCTTCTAAAATCTTACTCTAGAGAAATGTAACAGAATACATTCATATTGGAGACAGATTATTTTGGTTTTAGTTTGATTTCTTTCTTTTTAAAAGTTATTTTTGATTAGAAAGTCCATTCATGTGGTTCAAAGTTCAAAAGTCTATACTGAAAAATTTCCTTCCCACCCCTTCCCTGAACTGCACAAGTCCCTTCCTTGAAGCAGCTACAGCTATCAGTTTGGGAAGGTTTTAAAATATCAGCCTATGAATTCTTCCCTAGTCCAGCAAACTCTTGCTAGTGCTGTGCAGGGCACAGGCCTAATGACAAGCAGTGTGATGGAAGAAAAAAAAAAAAAAAAAAAAAAAAAGAATCAGTGTGATTAGTTTGGCTAGATGAGAAAATGTCATACTCCTGTTAAATCTCCCTTGAACTGCAGAAGGTACATGAAATAAAGAGGCATCGGGCCGGGCGCGGTGGCTCAAGCCTGTAATCCTAGCACTTTGGGAGGCCGAGACGGGCGGATCACGAGGTCAGGAGATCGAGACCATCCTGGCTAACATGGTGAAACCCCGTCTCTACTAAAAAATACAAAAAACTAGCCGGGCGCGGTGGCGGGCGCCTGTAGTCCCAGCTACTCGGGAGGCTGAGGCAGGAGAATGGCGTGAACCCGGGAGGCGGAGCTTGCAGTGAGCTGAGATCGGGCCACTGCACTCCAGCCTGGGCGACAGAGCGAGACTCCGTCTCAAAAAAAAAAAAAAAAAGAAATAAAGAGGCATCTTATCAAAGCAAAAGGACTTATCCAAATATTTGCTAAGGATTCTATAAATTGAACTCAAGGTACTTTCACCCCACAAAAGTAAAAGCCTGATATCTAAATGTCCAAGAAAAATAAACTTAGTCTGTGTAGAACTGATATGAAGTAACTTTTTAATTCAATAACTGACATCTTTTTTTTTGAGACAGTGTTCCTGTTGCCCAGGCTGCAGTACAGTGACACACTCAAGGCTCACTGCAACCTTGACCTCCTGGGCTCAAGCAATCCCCTACCTCAGCCTCCCTAGTAGCTGGGACTACAGGTATACACCAACACACCCAGATCATTTTTGCATTTTTTGTAGAGACAGGGTTTTGCCATGTTGCACAGGCTGGTCTCGAACTCCTAGGTTCAAGCAATCTGCCTGCTTCGGCCTTCCAAAGTGCTGGGATTACAGGCATGAGCTACCATGCCCGGCCGATAACTGCCACTTTTTATCAATGGCACTTCATTTTTTAATTTTTTATTCTTTTATTTATTTATTTATTTATTTATTTATTTATTTTGAGACGGAGTCTCGCTCTGTCACCCAGGCTGGAGTGCAGTGGCATGATCTCCGCTCACTGCAAGCTCCACCTCCCTGGTTCATGCCATTCTCCTGCCTCAGCCTCCTGAGTAGCTGGGACTACAGGGTGCCTGCCACCACACCTGGCGAATTTTGTTTTTGTATTTTTAGTAGAGACAGGGTTTCACCGCATTAGTCAGGATGGTCTTGATCTGCTGACTTCGTGATCTGCCCGCCTCGGCCTTCCAAAGTGCTGGGATTACAGGCATGAGCCACCGCGCCCGGCCTATTCTTTTATGTTTTGAGACAGAGTCTCGCTCTGTCACCCAGACTGGAGTGCAGTGGCGCGATCTCGGCTCACTGCAGCCTCAGCCTCCTGGGTTCAAATGATTCTCCTGTCCCAGCCTCCTGAGTAGCTGGGACTACAGGCGCATGCCCACGCCCACCTAAGTTTTTGCATTTTTAGTAGAGATGGTGTTTCACCATCTTGACCAGGTTGGTCTTGAACTCCTGACCTCAGTTGATCTGCCCACCTTGGCCTCCCAAAATGCTGAGATTACAGCATGAGCCACCACGCCTCGCCAATGGCACTTTAAATATATCATCTTAGTTTTTGTTTTAGAGTAAAACTCCTGAAAGGCTCAAAGTTCTAGTTGCCCTCAAGGATTCTTTTGCCTTTTTCTACTTAGTCTATCTCCAATAGCAGTTCCTGGACTTTTCCATATCTGACCTTAGCTCTATCACATTTTTAATGGATGTCCATCTTTCTAATATGTCCAAAGACAAGCTCAATGGTTTTACAGTTAATGAGAAACTTTTCCTGTTTTTTTCAAAGTCCAAATAGAAAATAGTGTTTTTTTAGAAATATGGCTGATTCATGAATCTAAATTGTAATACAGATTATATGCTGGGCATGTCATAAGCAATGTGGGGCACAGAAGGCCTGTAAGAAGCATGGCACCTGTCTTCAAGGAACTTCCAATTTCATGGGTAGGATACAACAACAGGCACTGCAGCTGGGCACAATGGCTCATGCCTGTAATCCCAGCACTTTGGGAGGCCAAGGTGGGTGGATCACCTGAGGTCAGGAGTTCGAGACTAGCCTGGCCAAAATGGTAAAACCCCCGTCTCTACTAAAAATACAAAAAATTAGCTGGGTGTGGTGGCATGTGCCTCTAATCCTAGCTGCTCTGGAGGCGGAGGCAGGAGAACTGTTTGAACTTGGGAGATGGAGGTTTGTAGTGAGCTGAGATTGTGCCACTGCACTCCAGCCTGGGCAACAGAGTGAGACTTTGTCTCAAAAAAAAAAAAAAAAAAAAAAAAAAAAAAAGACAGGCACTACAACAGAGAATAAGTAGAAAAAAATCATTTGGGCTGGGCGCGGTGGCTCAAGCCTGTATCCCAGCACTTTGGGAGGCCAGGCGGGTGGTTCACGAGGTCTGGAATCGAGACCATCACAGCAACGTGGTGAAACCCCGTCTCACTAAAAATACAAGTGGCCGGGCGTGGTGGCAGGCTGTGAGTCCCAGCTACTCGAGAGGCTGAGGCGGAAATGGCGTGAACTGGGGCGGAGGTGCAGTGGTTGTGCCACTGCACTCCAGCCTGGGCCCACCTAGCGAGACTCCGTCTCAAAAAAATCATTTGGGAAGTGCATGCTAATTAACACAGCGAGACTCCGTCTCAAAAAAAAAAAAAAAAAAAAATCATTTGGGAAGTGCATGCTAATTATGATAAATGAATGTCACCAGAAGAGGAAAAACTAGACTATTCTCTGAGTCAGAGGTCCAAACAGGAATAAAGCTAAGAAGTACTGATTGCTTATTTAATGTTATCTCTGGTCTATGATAACACTGAAACTGTAGTATGTAAAGAGCTGAGCACACTGCCTAGGACATAGTAACTGTGTAATGAATGTTAGCTGCAATTACTCTTTATTATTAGACTTTCTTTTTCTTTTTTTGAGATAGGATCTCAACCTGTCACCCAGGCTGCAGTGCAGTGGTGCAATCTCAGCTCACTGCAACCTCTATCTCCAGGGTTTAAGCCATCTTCCCACCTGAGACTCCCGAGTAGCTGGGACTACAAGTGTGTGCCACTACACCTTGCTAATTTTTGTATTTTTTGTAGAGACAGGGGTCTCCCTATGTTGCCCAGGCCAGTCGTGAACCACAGGGCTCAAGCAATCTGCTTGCCTCAGCTTCCCAAAGTGCTGGGATTACAGGTGTGAGCCACTGTGCACATCCTATTATTAGGCTTTTCATTCATGACACTTGTTAAGTCTACTATCTTTCTAGTCAATACCTGATACAATAACTCAATAAATTTTTGTTAAACTGAATATTTGTTATGTAAAAGTAACCTATACAGCAATTTTCCTGCTAGTAAAATTTCCCAATACAAAATGCTTTAAAAAAATCCACATTCACTCAAAATGCTTACTTTTCAATAAATCCATCTCTAGTAAAATACTCATGATGCAAAAGATCACTAGATGATATCCTGTCAGCAGGATCAATTTGTAAACAAGCCTAGGAAAGGAAAAAGATTGTAATGATAAGTGAGCTCTCAACAGGGCTCCATATGGTAAAAATTAAATTTATTTTACAAATTAAGAAGTAATTAATTATCCAGATCAAAAAGCATTCTTGAAAAGATGGAATTAGACCTCAGGAATTTCTGGTAGTAAGTTCTGACTGTTTATTTCCTTAAGGAATTTGCACTTGCAGAACATTATTATAGGTTAAATGTCCCATGATTCTAGCCAAAACAGAGGTCAGTCTGTTTCTGCTGAAATTAGCAAAAATTAATTAGCTCATTTTGATCCTCTTTTCTGCCCTGCGAGGTGGAAAGTTCATGTATAATCATTTGCATTTTACAGATCTGGAAGCATGATTAGTAGTTTGCCAAACAAGAGTTTTAACCCATGTTGTCTTGACTCCTAATCCAGCACTCTTTCTATAGCATAATACCATTTTGCAAATATTCAAGTCCCTAAATCTTTCTTTTTTTTTTTTTTTTGAGACAGAGTCTCGCTCTGTCGCCCGGGCTAGAGTGCAGTGGCCGGATCTCAGCTCACTGCAAGCTCCGCCTCCCGGGTTTACGCCATTCTCCTGCCTCAGCCTCCCGAATAGCTGGGACTACAGGCGCCCGCCACCTCGCCCGGCTAGTTTTTTGTATTTTTTTAGTAGAGACGGGGTTTCACCGTGTTAGCCAGGATGGTCTCGATCTCCTGACCTCGTGATCCGCCCGCCTCGGCCTCCCAGAGTGCTGGGATTACAGGCTTGAGCCACCGCGCCCGGCCCCTAAATCTTTCAATAACCCATTATTAAATCAGCTCTTTTCTGTTTCCCTTTCTTGGTATAGAAACAAACAAACAAAATATGGAAGGAAGTTTTGAATGTTAAGTTGTACATAACAAATCTGTATGTAAACAACAATTATAAATGGAACACATTTCTTTAATCAAAATATTGAAGACACGTTTTGAATAAAAAGCATCTGCTTTATAATTTTCATTCCTCCTGTGAAAGGAGGTAAAACAATAATAGTTAACTTCTTTTTGTAGAGATGGGAGTCTTGTTATGTTGTGAGGCTGATGAACTCTTGAGTTTAAGTGATTCTCCTGCCTTAGTCTCCTAAACTGCTGGAATTACGGAAGAGAGCCACCATGTTTGGTTTTTAAAAATTTTTTAGAGACAGGCTTTTACTCAGTCGCCCAGGCTGGAGTGCAGTGGTGCAATTATAGCTCACTGGAGCCTTGAACTCTTTGGCTCAAGATATCCTCCTTCCTTAGCCTCTTGAGTAGCTCAGACTACAGACACATGCCACCATGCCTGACTAGTAACTTTTATTGATGCTTACTACATACCAGACAATGCTCCAGTCTTTTTCTCCATTCCATCCCAACAACAATCCTACAAAGTAAATATTATTATTATCCTCATTATACAGATGAGGAGACTGAGGCCCAGAGAGATCACGTAATTTGTCTAAGATCTCATAAGTAGAGGAGCCACAATTAAAATCCAGCAAATCCAAGATAATTGTATATAATATTATGTTTCTGTTTATTTCAAAATGCATATTTAAACTGATTCACAGAAAAAAATCTAGAGATCTGCTGTACTATAATGTGCATATAGTTAAAAATGCCATACTGTACACTTAATAATTCTGTAAGAAGGTAGATTCCATATTATGTGGGTTTTTTTTTTTAACCAAAATAAAAACATTGATTCACAAAGAGAAATTATTTAAGTCTATTACCTACTTAATGATGTGGCAGTCTTTAAGACTGCAACTAGTTGGCCAGGCGTGGTGGCTCATGCCTATAATTCCAGCACTTTGGGAGGCCAAGGGGGGTGGATCACCTGAGGTTGGGAGTTCGAGACCAGCTTGACCAACACGGAGAAACCCCGTCTCCACTAAAAAAAAAAAAAACAAAATTAGCCGGGCGTGGTGGCACATGCCTGTAATCCCAGCTACTCGGGAGGCTAAGGCGGGAGAATCACTTGAACCTAGGAGGCAGGAGGTTGTGGTGAGCCAAGATCATGCCATTGCACTCCAGACTAGGCAACAAGAGCAAAGCTCCAGCTCAAAATCAAAACAAAACAAACAAACAAAAAAAGTTAAAAAATGTGCTCATTTTAGAACATAATGGTAATCTATCACTAAAACTTAATATGAAAAATGCTAAAAGGTCTGACCAAATCATAGAGGCAGACAATTAGAGGCAGTCCTTCTGCAAATATAATTCAGTAAATTTAAATATATGCCCTATTTTGGAAAGTGTAAAATATGACACTTGGGGAAACAGATTGGCAGTTTCTTAAAAAATTAAACATATGCCTACCCATGACCCAGCCATTCTGTTCTTAGATATTTCTGCTGGAGGAATGAAAATACACTGTGTGTTCCACACAAAGACGAACATGAATGTTCTCATGGCAACTTTATTTGTAAAAGCGAAAAATGGGAAATAACCCAAATGTCCAACAACAGTGAAGGGATTTTTTAAAATTTAGTATAGTCATATAATGAACTACTACTCTGCAAAAGAGGAACAAATTGCTGATACATACAAAAACATGAATGAATCTCTAAACCATTATGCTGAGTGGAAGAAGCCAGACATGAAAGAGTGCCTACTGCGCGATTCTATTTATATAAGATTCCAGGAAATTCAAACTAATCTATGGAAAGAGAAAGCAAATCAGTGGTTATCTGGGGACAGAAATGGAAGAAAAGATGAATTGTAAAAGGACACAATGAAATTTTGGAGAGTGACGGAAATGTTAGGTATCGTGTGTGTGTGTGTGTGTGTGTGTGTGTGTGTGTTAGATATCTTGACTGTGGTGGTGGTTTCATGTGTGTATACATGTATCAAAACTCTTCAAATTGTACATTTTAATTATGTGTAGTTTACTGTTCATAAATTATACCCCAATAACATTGTTTAGAAAATGTATATTTAGGAAAAAAAGTGCCCTACATCAGATATCAAGGTGTATATTAAAGTTACAATAATAAATCAAAGTTGTACTACTTCTAGAATAAAGAGAAAAATCAATGTAACAGAAACAAACCCACACATGTATAAGCTTTTTGTCTATGATAAATGTAGCATTCCAAATCATTGGATGATTCTAGTTGTTTAAAAAAAAAAAAGCATATTGCAAGTTTTGCAAACGTATTGCAAAACTTATGACAAAAGATTAATGTGCTTTTTTCACAAATCAATAAGAGAAATATTTCAGTTGACACACAGGTTAAGGATTCTTTTTTTCTTTTTTTATACAGGGTCTTGCTCTGTCACCCAGGCTAGAGTGCGGTGGTGCAAGCATAAATTACTGCAGTCTCAAATTCCCGGGTTCAAAGGATCCTCCTGCCTCAGCCTCCCAAATAGCTAGGACTACAAGTGGGTACCATGACACCCTACGCTTTTGATTAGAGATAGGGTCTTACTATGTTGCCAAGGTATGCCTCATGCCACACCCGGGAGGCAGAGGGTGTGGTAAGCCAAGATCGCAGCATTGCACTCCAGCCTGGGCAACAAGAGCAAAACTCCATCTCAAAAAAAACAAAAACAAAAATAAAAATAATAAATAAAAAATTAAATTTTAAAATAATAAAAAGGAGTTATATAATGTTTTCATTTTCTCCAGTTCAAGACAGATTTTGGCCGTGGTATATCTTCAGACATTAAAACTATAGCTGCTGAGGTCCTGTAGATATTTTAGTACAAAAAATATGTCCCTAACAGGGCTAAACTAAATGTTAAAAGGTAGTGATAAACACAGTAAGTCCTTAGAATTTCTTCCAGTTGTTTTTTTTTTTTTTGAGACAGAGTCTCTCTCTGTCATCCACGCTGGAGTGCAGTGGCCTGATCTTGGCTCACTGCAACCTTGGCCTCTACGGTTCAAGTGATTCTCCTGCCTCAGCCTCCTGGGTAGCTGGGACTACAGGTGTATGCCACCATGCCCGGCTAATTATTTTGTATTTTTAGTAGAGATGGGGTTTCACCATGTTAGCCAGTATGGTCTCAATCTCCTGACCTCGTGATCTGCTGGCCTCGGTCTCCCAAAGTGCTGGGATTACACCGTGAGCCACCGTGCCTGGCCCATTTCTCCAGTTTATACCTAATTATCATTAAAATAGAGATAAATTAAATATAATGAACATAGTTATCTTAGGGGGCGTTCAGCTCTGACAGTCTATGAATTTTAATTTCTCTGTACTAAAGACATAACTTTCTACAGATTACATTACTTTAGGAATCCTTTTGGAATTTCATTAAAGTGATAATTTAAAACTGTATTATAATTTATGCAAATTTCTCAGATATAAATTCTTAATTTCTCAACATATATGAACTGGCTGGGCGTGGTGACTCACGCCTGTAATCTCAGCATTTTGGGAGGCCGAGGTGGGCAGATCACCTAAGCTCAGGAGTTCCAGATCAGCCTGGCCAACCATGGCCAACATGGTGAAACCCCATCTCTACTAAAAATACAAAAGTTAGCCGGGCACAGTGGCAGGCGCCTGTAACCCCAACAACTTGGGAGGCTGAGGCAGGAGAATCTTTTGAACCTGGGAGGCAGAGGTTGCAGTGAGCTGACATTGCTCCAATGCACTCCAGCCTGGGTGACAGAGCAAGACTCTGTCTCGGGGGAAAAAAAGACATACATGAACTATATCTGCCAACAATCCATTAAGCTTTGGATATTTTTTTCTTGCATTTTTGGGGTGTTGAACTTGAGGAAGAACTACCCCAGCAAAAATGGGGCTCTTGGAAAAGATATTCTGCAAGTGAGGTGACAAATTGCCTGAAAAGAGAAAAAAAATGTATATTTTAAAAACAGAGAAATTAGTCCATAATCAAAATAATCAAATTGCTATGTGATCTACATTAGATACTAAAAACTGATATAAGGAAGAATATCAATTATGTCTTTTAATTTTTTGAAGTAGAATAAAAACTATCTGAATATGTCATAAAAAATTGAGGTTTCCTGTTATCTGCTGATAGCCCACAGGCAACATAAGATATAAAACCACCAGGTTTACTTGCTTTTCCCAAACTATAAGACATAATATGTAATGCTGTCAGAAAATGCACATTCCAACTTTTATGCATTTCCATGTGGGTATCCAAATGATTTTACTATTAAGTGTTCATCAGCAAAATACATTGAAACCTTACTCAAAGTAGTTAAAATATTAAAGGTATGTAGAAATCAAAATATTGCAAAAAAAGAAACAAGGCTAGAGTAGTAGCAGAATGGAAAGAACTATAAATATGAGTGGAGGGAACTAAGTTCTAGCAGTTTTGCTATAACTAGTTCTGTGACCTTGGGTAAATCTCTTCCTTTTTGTGCTTGGTTTTCTCATCTGTGAAATGATAGGATTAAACCCCACCATCTAAGGTTCCTTCTGATATTAATCTCTTAACCAGAACTTCTTAAAAGACACAAAAAAGTGAGGTGTCTTAAGGCTCTAAACTATATCTTAAATCAATAATTATCCAGGTTTCACTGTTTTTAGAATTGTTCATAGTATCTTCCTCATAATCCTGTAATTACAAATTTATGCATACCTTCCCCACCACACAAAGAGCTCCTCAAGCTTCTCAGTCAGGAATAGTAAAAAATAAATCTTAGCCAGGCACGGTGGCTCACACCTGTAATCCCAGCACTTTGGGAGGTCAAGGCGGGCAACATGGCAAAACCCTGGCTGCACTAAAAATGCAAAAATTAGCCGGGCATGATGGCACATGCCTGTAGCCCCAGCTACTCGGGAGGCTGAGGTGGGAGAATCACCTGAGCCCAGGAAGTCAAGGCTACAGTGAACCATGCTTGCACCACTGCACTCCAGCCCAGGTGACAAAGTGAGACCTTGTCTCAAAAAAATTAAAATTTAAAATTTAAAAAAAACCCACAAATCTTGAAATAGCACATTCAAGGCTAACCATCATAATGTTTTGGTGGCCAAAGCAGATCATCAAATATACTCTCATCAAATATATTCTTTTTTTTTTTTCTCTGAGACAGAGTCTCATTCTGTTGCCTAGGCTGGAGTGCAGTGGCGTGATCTCAGCTCACTGCAACCTCTGCCTCCTGGGTTCAGGCGATTCTCATGCCTCAACCTCCTGAGTAACTGGGATTACAGGCGCTTGCCACCATGCCTGGCTAAATTTTTTTTTTTTTTTTTTTTTTTTTTGTATTTTTAGTAGAGATGCGGTTTCACTATGTTGGTCAGGTTGGTCTCCAACTCCTGATGTCAGGTGCTCCACCTGCCTTGGCCGTCCCAAAGTGCTGGGATTACACGCATGAGCCACCATGCCCAGCCTTCATCAAATATGTTCTTGAATAAGTTATTTAGCTATCTGGCTGTCTATTATTGTTTTCTTTAAAAAGAAGGGTGGTTTCTGAGTAAATAATTAATTTTCTATTTCCCAGTGCTTTAAAAAAGCATCTGACTCAACTCTACTATTTGAAGTCCTTATATAGAGGTACAAATATTTGAAAAAGCCTAATTTAAAAACAACTTTTAGACAAATTAAAGTACATTCCTATTGTACTATTCTTCTTAGCATCAACAATCAACACATGGCTTAGCTATTTATATCCTAGCAAAGAAAATATTATTTGCAAAAACAGAGAATTTTCTGCCTTCTTTATCAGCCCAAGGAACCCATCTGCTGTCATCTATCAAAACAATATGCTTCCCTGTTCTTACACAGAACAGCTAAATTTGAAAATCAAGCAGAATTGATCTGGCAATATTTATTTTAGACATGTAACTCATGCTATTTCAGTAATACCTACCCACTTTCAAAACAATTTTATGGAGTAAATCCAAATCAGAGCTACTAGGAAGATAGGGATTTCCAGTGGCCATCTCAATGATCATACAGCCCAAAGCCCAGATATCCACAGGTCTGAAACAGATCAGGGAAAAAAAAATCACTTTTTCATGTAGAAATATATAAATATATTCTTAAAAATATGTTTAAAGAAGGCTAAAGAAACAAGCGGTATCATTTGTAAGTTTTGTTTCGTTTTGTTTTGTTTCGAGACAGTCTTGCTCTGTCACCCAGGCTGGAGTGCAGCGCCGTAATCTCAGCTCACTGCAAACTCTGCCTCCCAGGTTCAAGCAATTCTCCTGCCTCAACCTCCTGAGTAGCTAGGACTACAGGCACATGCTACCATGCCCGGCTAATTTTTGTATTTTTAGTAGACACGGGGTTTCGCCATGTTGGCCAGGCTGGTCTTGAACTCCTGACCTTGTGATCCACCCGCCTCAGCCTCCCAAAGTGCTGGGATTACAGGCATGAGCCACTGTTCCCGGCCCATTTGTAAGTTTTTATTGTAGATCATATACCAACTTTATAAGAATTGGTAACTGCTATATTGGTGAGGCTATCACAAAGAAATAGTACCAAGTACTGTTCTGGGAGTGTAAACTTATATGACTTCTTTGGAGGAAAAATTGGCAAAAGCCACCAAAATTGAAATTGTATATGCTTTTGATTGTACAATTTTATTCCTAGGAATTTATCCTAAGATATACTCACATGTGTGCACAAATATAAATTACATGAGAATTTCACTGCGGCACTGTTCGTGGAAGAAAAAGATTGCAAACAACCTAAACATCCACCTATAAGGGAATGGCTAAGAAAATTTTTGTAACAACTCACAATAAAATATTATTCATCTGTTAAAAATGATGAGGTCTGGCCAGGCACGGTGGCTCACACCTGTAATCCCAGCACTTTGGGAGGCCGAGGCAGGCAGATCACAAGGTCAGGAGTTCGAGACAAGCCTGACCAACACAGAGAAACCCCGTCTCTACTAAAAATACAAAATTAGCCAGGCGTGGTGGCACATGCCTGTAATACCAGTTACTCGGGAGGCTGAGGCAGGAAAATCACTTGAACCTGGGAGGCGGAGGTTGTGGTGAGCCGAGATCGCGCCATTGCACTCTAGCCTGGACAACAAGAGCAAAACTCTGTCTCAAAAAAAAAAAAAAAAGAAATTGATGAGGTAGATCTCTCTATATGTGCTGAAATGGAATGATGTCCAAGATAAATTGTCAAATGAAAAAAGCAAATTCATAAAAGAAATCAAAGATCTAAATAAATGGAGAGATACTCCATGTTCATCGATAGGAAGACTCAATATTGTCAAGATGTCAGTTCTTCCAAGTTTTATGTAATGAGTCAATACAATCCCTATCAAAATTCCAGTAAATTAAAAATGGATAATTATGTGAGGTAACACATATACATAAATTAGCAAAATTTAGTCATTTTACAATGTATTTATACCTCAAAGCATCATGCTCTACACAATATATACATACAATTTAATCTGTGAATTTAAAAAAATCCTAGGAAATAGTTTTGTAGATATTGACAATTGATTGGAAAGTTTATATGGAGAGGCAATAGACCCAGAATAGCCAACACAATTTGAAAAAGAATAAAGATCGAAACTACTTGACTTCAAGATGTTTTAAACAATAAGCAAAATAGTATGGTATTGGTGAAAGAATAGATAAATAGATCAAGGGAACAGAATAAAGAATCTAGAAATAGACTTGCACAAATATGATCAACTGATTTTTGACAAAGGAACAGAGGTAATTAAATTAAAAAAAATAAGATAGTCTTTTCAACAAATAGTGCTGGAACATACAAAAAACTAAATCTAGACACAGATCATACCCCTTTCACAAAAATTACCTCAAGATGGATGACAGACCTAAATATAAAATGCAAAACTGTAAAACCTCTAGACGATCACATAGGAAAAAATCTACATGGCCTTAGGTAATGAGTTTTTAGATACACCACCAAAAGTATAATTCACAAAAGAAAAAATTGATAGGTAGAACTTCGTTAAAACTAAAAATTTCTGCTCCATGAGAAATACTGTTAAGCAAATGAAAAGCAAGCCACAAACTGGGAGAAAATATTTGCAAAATAATAATGAACTTGTATCCAAAATACATAAAACTCTTAAAATTCAACAATAAGAAAATAACCCAATTAAAAAATGGGCAAAATAAACAAATATACAATTCACCAAAGAAGATACACAGATGGCAAAGAGGCATATTAACAGATGCCCAATATCATATGTCATCAGATAATTGCAAATTAAAACAATAATGAGATACCACTACACACGAATGCCTAAAATCCAAAATACTGACAACATCAAATGCAGGTGAGGATGGCAAACAACAGGTACTCTCATTCACTGCTGGTTGAAACACAAAATTATACAGTCACTTTGGAGGACAATTTGACAGCTTCTTACAAAGCTAAACATAGTCTTACCATATGACCCAGCAATTGTTTTCCTTGGGATTTACCCAAATGAGTAGAACACTTCTCTCCACACAAAAACCTGGACATGAATGCTTATAACAGCTTGCTTCACAATTGCCAACACATGGAAGCAATAAAGATGTCCTTCAATAGGTGAGTGGATAAACAAACTGTGGTACATACATATAATGGAATATTATTATTATTATTATTATTATTATTATTATTATTTTTGAGACAGAGGCTCACTCTGTCACCCAGGCTGGAGGGCAGTGCCACGATCTCGGCTCACTGCAAGCTCCGCCTCCCGGGTTCATGCCATTCGCCTGCCTCAGCCTCCCGAGTAGCTGGGACTACAGGCGCCCGCACCACGCCCGGCTAATTTTTTTGTATTTTTTCGTAGAGACAGGGTTTCACCGTGTTAGCCAGGATGGTCTCGATCTCCTGACTTTGTGATCTGCCTGCCTCGGCCTCCCAAAGTGCTGGGATTACAAGCATAAGCCACCACGCCTGGCCTATGGAATATTATTTAGCAATAAAAGAGAAGTGAGCTGTCAAGACACCAAAAAAAAAAAAGGAGGAACCTTAAATATATATTGCTAGGTCAAAGAAGCCAGTCCGAAAAAGCTACATACTATGTGATTCCAACTATATGATATTCTGGAAAAGCCTAAAGTACAGTAACAGTAAAAAGATCAATGGCTGCCAGGAGTTTTGGGAGAAGGAGGGAAGAATAAAAATGAAGCACAGAAGATTTTTAGGACCATAAAATTATTCTGTATACTATAATGATGGATACATGACATTATACATTTATCAAAACCCAGGAAATACAACACAGAGTAAACTCTAAACTATGGAATTTAGTTAATAATGTATCAATATTGGTACATAATTGTAACAAATGTACCTCACTAATACAAGATGTTAGTAATAGAGAAACGTAGGGTGGAGGGGACATAAGGAAACTACGCTTCCTGTTCAGTTCTTCTGGAACCTAAAATTGGTCTAAAAATTAAAGCCTCTGAATATAAACAAATAAAAAGTGGCAGGACTTGGTGGCTCATGTCTGTGGTTCCAGCAACTTGGGAGGCTGATGCAGGAGGATCACTTGAGCCTGGGAAATCAAGGCTGCAGTGAGCCATGAGTATGCCACTGTACTCCAGCCTGTGAGACAGAGTGAGACATTATCTCATAAGTAAATAAAGAAGAGTGGGGAGGGAAACCAAGATTCTATACTATGTATATATTATGCTCCTATTTCTGTTCAAAAGGAAGAAGATGGAGAAGTATGTGTATGTATGTGTGTATACTGCTAGACAATGACCTAAGAAATAAAGGAATTAATTATAATACATACAGTTTTTCAGATCTACATTATAACCATGGATGATATAATAGTAACTTATAAACTTGCTTATTTCACAAGGTTTAATTGTGAAGTTTTAATTTAATTGTTATTTAATAACAGTTTTCCAGAGTGATTGTACAAGTTTACATTTCCCCACCAGTGTATGTGAGTTCTAAATGCTCCACTTAACATTAGTATTTACTGTCTTTTTTTCAATTTAACCATTCTGGTACCACCTTGTGATATAAGTTTGCATCTTTCTGATGACTAATAAAAGTATGCGCTTTCACATTTTTAAAAAAACAAGTTTTAACTCTCAAGCTTTAAGTTACTTATCATTATTACTATTTTTAACGTTTTTTTTTTGTTGTTTGTTTGTTTGAGATGGAGTCTCGCTCTGTCACCCAGGCTGGAGTGCAGTGGTGTAATCTCAGCTTACTGCCATTCTCCTGCCTCAGCCTCCCAAGTAGCTGGGACTACAGGCACCCGCCACCATGCCCGGCTATTTTTTTGTATTTTTAGTAGAGACGGGGTTTCACCATGTTAGCCAGGTAGGTCTCGATCTCCTGACCTCATGATCCGCCTGCCTCAGCCTCCCAAAGTGCTGGGATTACAGGCGTGAGCCACCGCGCCCAGCCAAAGTTAATTATTTTTAAGTACTCTCTCCACAGAATGCAATTTCTATGCACCTCCTCCACTACCAAAAGAGACACTAAAAACATTCCTACACAAAGCAGTTCGCTTTTCTCCAGCTTGACCTGAAATTTCACAGTACAGTTTAGTAAGGTAAGCCATTATCTGCAGAAATTTAAAGCATTATCTAGGCAGGCCTTTCAAAGAGCAATAGAAGACAGACCATGTCTAGTTAATTATCATTGCAGCAGTAATCTTAAAGGGATTTTCTGAAATATAAGCAAGTCCTAGTTAGCTATAGAGAAAACTTCTCCCCTTCACTTCAACTACAACATTTTGCAGAAAAAGAGCTGTCCAGTAGAAAAAACGAAAACAAAATTAACCTACTAAGGAAAGTAAAGATATTAGACTCAAGCCTTGATCAAGAAAAGTAGATCCAAAAAAGCTTAGGTTTAACATGCAGGGGTAAGGGAGGATTAAAAAAACAAACAAACAGGGATACGAACTTCTAGCATGACAGAGTGAAGAGATCAGCTGACCTACTCTCTTACTAGTTTATCATTGAAACTAGTATTTTTTTTTTTCGTTAAGATGGAGTTTCATTCTTGTTGCCCAG